ACACGCGCACGGACTCAGGGGGATCCAGAGGGGTCAAGGACGTCCAGAGGGGTCAGGGACACACAGAGGGGTCAGCAAAACCACAGAAGGGTCAGGGACACACAGAGGGTACAGGAGTGAGCATCAGGTGCTGCCTCAGACCTCCACAAAAGGCCACCGCCTGATTCCCCATCTCCTTGCCCACCCCTTCCCACTCCCACCCACCCTGGGGAGGGTCCCCTGGGCTTCTCCCCTCCCTGACCCCAGTCCCGTCGGGTCGGCAGGGAGGGACGCAGTGACCGGCGGTGACACAGCGACCCCGCTCACCGGTAGACGAGGCTGAGTGCGGCGTACAGCACCACGAAGACGATGAACTCCTTGTACAGCAGCTTGTAGATGCTGCCTTTCCAGCGGAAGAGCAGCTTGGAGAAGCCCCCGAAGCGGGAGTTGGCGACTTTGAGCGTGTAGGACACGGTCATCGCGGCTCAGCCCTGCGCCTCGGCGCCAAAACCCTTCTCTCCTTGGCTGATGGCTAAAATGAGGAGAACTGGGGCTCCTGCTGCATCCAGGCTGGAGATGTGTGCTCGTTCACACACCAAGAGCTATGGCCCATCCGCAGGATCGCCCATGCAGCCACCCTGCCCTTCCCAAACCCTTCACAGCCCCTGCCTGCTCCCTGCTTGCGCCTCCCCTTGCCAATGGGGCCCTTCTCCCTAAATACCCCAGCACGGCCCAGCCCTCCCCGTGATGGATTGGGGCTGTCAGAGCAGGGAACAGGGAACCCCAGGTCGGTCACACCTCCCTGTGCCACCACGGGGGTGTTGCACATGAGCCAGGGCCATGGGGCGGTTTGGGTCGTTCCCCTTTGCAGCCACGGTGGCCGAATTGAAGCTCCATGAGGAGGAGGGGAAAGGACGGGGGGGTTTCATTTCGGAACAGGACCCCGGGGAGCGCAGGCAGGGCCAGCACCCAAGGGGGGCTGGGGGATATTTCTGAAGCAGGGGTGAGAAACGTGGCGTTGCTGCCTGCAAACACGGGCCAGGCTGCAGCCCCCAGGGATGGCTGCTGACCCCTGCCCGTCACTGGGGCAGCTCCTGGTCCCTCTGTGTCACAGCATCCCAGGATGTGAGGAGCTGGAA